CGGTGAATAAACGTTTCCTGATGGTGAAATCTTAAAATCAAGGTACTCACATGAACCTATCAAACCTCAGCTGAAGCCAGGCGTGGTGGCGCACGCCTGTAATCCCAGCACTCGGGAGACTGAGGCAGGAGGATTGTTGCTAGTTCGAGGCCAGCCTGAACTGCATAGCGAGACCCTGTCTCAAAAAGACAAAAAAAAAACCTCAGCTGAGAAAGAAGCGAGGATTGTCAGGTTGTCTAGATTTTTTTTCTAAAAACATGGACTTAGAAATTTCAAGTAAGCCGGGCGTAGTGGTGCACTCCTGTAATCCCCGCACTCAGAAGTTGAGGCAGAAAGGTAGTTGGGAGTTGGAGGCCCGCCTTGGCTACACAGGTCAAGGCCAGCCTGAACTGCACAGCGAGACCCTGTCTTAAAAAGACAAAAAAGAAATTTCAAGTGATATGTTTTTGTTATTAGCAAAAACATTGACATTGCCTAAATATACTTGGTTTTGTTTTTGAGACAAGGTCTCACTACGCAGCTCAGGCTGGCTTTAAACTCACTATGTAAACTCACTATAAACTCTGTCTCCTGAGTGCCGGGATTATAGGCATGTACCACCATGCCTCGTTACCTTGATCTACTTTCACAGTATTTCCACAGTTACTTTCTTATTGATTGCTGAAGTTAATTACGAAAATTGTGCAAAGCCTGGATCATATAGTCTCATTTTTATTATTATGAGATAAGGGGCCTTTTATAGTAATTTTATAATTTAGCAATTAGCTGAAACCTAAACCTATATTATCTGCTATGTTAAAGGATTTAAGCAGAAAGCAAATCATTGAACTCATTTTTAAGTAAATTATTAAATATGGTTTATGAATTAATTAGTTTTCATCTTATCCTGATTCCTTAAAACAAAATATCTAACTGTTTACACCACTGTTACAGTGGTTTCTGCAATTATTGTATTCATACCAGAAGAGAATTGTTGGGTGTTCTTTTTTTTTAAGAACTTGAGAGACAAAAATCTCAAGTTATTCATGGAGCATTGTGTATTTTTTTTTTTTAGGTCATATTTTCTCCATTAATTCAAAAGCTATGGTAAAGTTCATAGAGCAAAAGCCAGATAGAATGTGCTACAGAAACAAGTCACTTTCTACACATTAAAATGCTTATAGACTGTTTCAGAGGTGGTCAAGTGAGAGGAACCACTAGTCTTTCTAGGATATGTGTGGAAGTAGAGCAGGTCTAGTGTTAATTCAGTAAAGGTGGCGAGAGTAAAGGTTCCAATCAGAGAATTACCCGTGTTTAACAGAGCGCCGCAGTCGCCATGTTGTGGGATCTGATGGATGTGTGTGCTTGGCTGTCTCTGTGGACTGCCGTGCACATAGATTTAAGACCCTTGCTGCCCTGACCCTTCTTACAGCCCGCTCCCTGCTCATCCTGGTCCCTGTGGTGTCGGTGTGGAGCCTGAGGGAATTCTGAAATGACTCCCCTGCTTTCACTTTTCCCTAGAGAGCCTTAGCCCAGCTCCAGCATTAGTAAAATGGGTTCCCAAGGAGACTGTGAATTAACAATATTCACTGTTACCAGATTACATTCATTGTACTGTAAGACCCTGAGACCGTCCTAGTTATTTCTGCCAAAGAAATCTTGAGATCATTTAATGATTAATGTCTACATCAGAGGTTCCCAAGATGCACATTAGAATTCTCTGGGAATCAGAATGTCTACAGTCTTAAATCTCCGCAAGTGATTATAGTGTGGGTTAAGGACCATTGGTCAAAATAAACTTGAATCTTATTTCAGAAGCATCCAGAAATAGGAAAGGAGACAGCCATTACAAGAGAGTTGTGTATGTACAAATGCATTGGATGGTGTACTTTTTAAAAATTAGCTAATATTTCTTCCAGTAAAATGCTGATGTAGACACACAACAGAGGTAGGAAGAACACAATGTAGATCAGACCCCTCACACGGGAGCTCGTTGCAACAGAAGACTGCAGTCAGCATCTTGAACTCTGAGCCTTGAACATGATATGAAAATATGAACCTGTAATCAAATTGTTGTGATGTCGCTGTCTCACTAGGAGATATCCCCTGGAGATTATGGTCATACTGCTAATTTAGTTCGTTTCTCATTCTTGCTTGTGGTTTGTGGTTTCAGTTGTTGTTGCCACCATCGTTTGGTTGGCTGGCTTTTGGTTTTATGTTTGTTGGTTGGTTTTTTCAGACAGGGTCTCACTGTGTAGCTCAGGCTGCCTCACATTTGTGGCAGTCCTCCTGCCTCAGCCTCCTGAGTGCTGGGATTATAGGCATGCGCTGCCGCACTCTGTTTGGAATTTGGTTTTTTGAGATTGGTCTTCACCTCCCAGGGATCCTCAGCCTCAGCCTCAGCCTGTCAAGGGCTGGAATTACCGTTGTACACCACCACCCCAGCTTCATGTTTATGTGCTCATCCTTGACTCTTTAATAAGTTTATGACAAAGGCAACATCAGCTCAATATGGAAAATTTAGGAGATGTAGAGAAGTACAGAGAAAGAAAAATACAAACTCTTACAGTGCCACAGTTCAAGCTAATAGCTTTCGTTTCTTTTCTGCATTACTTTGTCAGCTTCAAGATGCCTTCTGATTTTAATATTAAATTTAACATATGTTTGAAGTTTCCATAATGAAAAGTGATCAACTCCAGCAGCAATCTTTGAAACACCCTACAGTTTTTACAGTTTAAGTATTATTTTTACTTTTCATTTTTCTATACTGAATCAGTTTCTTCTTGCGAAGATCCCTCTCAGTGACTAATGTGTAATGATTTTTAGTGTGTAAGTTAAACAGGCATTTTACAATCACACTTACGAACTCCCTGTGTTTACAGTATGTGCATATTCAACCCCCTGGAAGTATTCCGCTAAATGTGTGAGCCGGACTAACCACCTGTGCTGATGCACTCGCTGGCTCATTCTCCACACCCCCAAGACATGGGGGCAGTTTCAGCTTGACCTTGATCCCTTCCGTTTGAATGACATCGGGCCTCCATTATGTCTGAGGCATTCATGTTTCCAGCACCATCACACACACACACACGCGCGCGCACAACCTCAGAATTGGGCAATAGCAGTTAAAGGAGAAATTGCTTTGGTAATTAAAATAATACTAAAAGTGGATAGAGATTGAGGACCTTGTATTATTTGTGTGTCAATGTAGTAAAATAAACAAAACACAGCTGTACTCTATTCCAAGATCAATATTTCATTATGATAAAATAGCATTCCCTTAAAAGACATAAAGGGCACTCTGTAGTAGAGAGACATCATGAATTTCTGTAAGGGAAACATTTTTTCTCCTAAAGAAAAATTTGTTCTGTAATTATCTAAGTTATTTTCCAACATTGCAGAAGCTTCATTACTGCAATTTGGGAGAATCTTTCGTTTAACTTGACGTGTGACTCCAGATATCTTAAAATTTACTTCATTAATGCATTCAGCAGGTAGATTTAACTGGTAGTTGTAGGAATCCAGCTGGTATTTACTGGGAGAGAACGAGGAGACTGACACTAAACAGGTCATGTGGGGAGATTCTGTCGGTTCTGCCAGTGGTTACAAGCATATATATTCTTGTCAAAGCCCTTGGCCTGTACACTAAAATTAAAATATAGCCGGGCGTGGAGGCGCACGCCTGTAATCCCAGCACTTGGGAGGCTGTGGCAGGAGGATCGTTGTGAGTTCGAGACCAGCCTGGGCTACAAAGTGAGCTCAAGGCCAGCCTGAACTGCATAGCGAGACCCTGCCTCAAGAAGATGAAAAAAATAAATTAAAATAAAATTAAAATATATTCTTCTGTGAAGTTGACTTTTTAAAAAATACTAAAAAGAGTTATGCATACAGAGATTTAAAAATAATGATTTAGCATCAGCAAAACTTTTGTTGGATACGAGTAGGTGTTTCATTGTAGATTAAATCTATTGCAGAGTTTTCTAATTTGACAACCAAATTTTATTGCATGTAGCATTGGTAACTAGGTGAAAATAAAATTGTCTAGAAATAGAACTTTCAAGATTTAGTTTTTCTTACATTATGCCATTTGTTAGGATTAGTAAACTCTTCTTATAAGGGTAGCTAAATCAGTAAGGGTACATTTGTAGGCCATGATGGAAATGCATATTTTATGTAACATGAAAATCAGGTAAACCTAAATCTCACAAAATACAGTACAAACACCAGACCTTTCTGCCTACAAATATTAAAAATGTTCTTGACCAATTGCTCTGATCACATTGACTGTGTTTCGAGTGGTTTTTCTCTAAAGTACAGAGCCTGTTCAAATAAGTATTATTTTCTAGAGGCAGTAATAAGTATAACATAGCTGGAAATGTGAAATGTGGGGTCAGTGTACTTTATAGGAGCTAAAGAGATTTACTAAGTCTTTGCTGAATAAATTTAGTTTGCATGCCCTTGAATAATTTTGTATATGGTGTTAAACTGTCAGAAATCCAAAATGTGTGTATAAGTGTCTATCAGTATTAGTTTTAATGAAATGTTGATTATCTAAATGACAATATGTTGACTGTTAGAAAAATTTTAGTATCTGTAAAGAGCTAATTTTTTTCTGATTAACCTTACAGAGAACCAAATATCTTTTCAGCTTTATTATTGAGTAATGGCATTTTTCTCCAAGTTCATAAGTCATCACTGTTTAAGTTGTCCTTTGAATTATGACGCTTTATCATCAATTATGTGTAGCAGTATTCATTAATTGCCTATATCGGTTATAAAGTAAAATCTACCTGCTGCAGTGCTACCGTAAGCTTTTATATGGCCTTGGAAGTGTGTTACCGCATTTAAGACTTGTTTGCATTTGTTTATATAAGTTAAATCTGTACAGCCGTGGGGTAAAATATAAACAACTGCACTGTTAGGAAGGTGTTAAAGTAGAGGATATATTTACAGTGTCGTCTTTCAAATCTAGCTATGCTGTAAACTGATGTTTGCTGTATGCTCCTCCTGATTTGAAATAGATGAAAGAAAATGAACCTATTATCACCATGGTTCACACAATGATTGAGAACTCGGCGCTAAGACCACAACTGTACCAGCAAGTAAGGTCTTGGACAGTGAATGATACTGCTTTCTCATCTGCAAATCCCCTCAGTGACAGTTTTGGTTTCTCCCCAGATTTACTCATGACATCAGTGTTTTTCTTCTTTTCTTTGTTGTTTATGTTTATTTGGGAAACCACACTTCATCCATGCTTTTCAAGACGCTGCAGCATCGTTAGCATGGCTTTGCTGAACATTTTGCCGTTGACTATTCAGTGTACCATCTTCCCGGAGTTCTCGTGTAGAGTATTTGATTGAGATGTACTTGGAGGTCTGCAGTACATTTGTGAAATTTTTACCGTATTTCCATATATTTTTATTAATCCTGAAGGCATTACGGCTGACTTTTATGGAAACGGCTTTGTAAAATTGCTTTCCTGTCTAGGGCACCTCCCCACACCTCCCACACCAGTGTCTTAGGAATCGATTGCTTTTGTGTGAGAGTGGTCACATCTAGTTTCTGTACTAGATGGGGTAAAACCTAACAGCAGCCATTTCTTACCATATGGGTGTCTCCTCCCTGCCCTCTCTCGCCCGTGCACAGCCCATCCGGCGATCATACCTTCCCATTCTCTTCTCTGACTCAAAACCCGTGTCGTGCAGTGAGCTGGCTTGCACTTAGGAATCTTGGTAATCTGCAGATCTGCAAAAGAAGTCATACACATTTTTATCCAGTTTTTTTGTATTTCATGGTCTCAGTGTTCCTAGCTGTGTGTTTCACAACGTCAGCTTCTTCCACTTGAACACCCTCAGATTACTTTGGCCTATGACCTGTTAAAATACTTGAAAATGTATTAGAAGGAAAAAACTAACCAACATGAAAAATGAATATAGATTTTGATTAAAAAATATAAAAGCACCTGGAAAAAAGAAGCACTTTGAGCTTGTACTGGGGCCGGGTATGAGGAGATTGATACAGTTGGTGAGGAGGTGACTCCTGTTTTTGAGCCCATGTTTTTCAGAACAGTTAAAATACATTTTATGATTAAAAACCCTCTTTAATTTGCAATAGATCAAAAAAAATTGAATATTTAAAGTTAAACAGCTTTACTTTTTTTGATTTTTCGTTTGTTTGTTTTGTTTTTCTTCCAGTATTGGGAATCAAACTCACAACCTTGAGCTTGCCAGGCAAGCGCTGTGCCGCTGAGCTAAATCCCCAGCCCCAAACAGCTTTACTTTTCAAAAGAAAATGAAATTTTTCAATTCTTAAAGTCACTAGATGCCAGGCATGGTGGCACACACCTATAATCCCAGCACTCGGGAGGCTGAGGCGGGAGGATCATTGCGAGTTCGAGACCAGCCTGGGCTACAAAGTGAGCTCAAGGCCAGCCTGAATTGCATAGTGAGACCCTGCCTCAAAAAGACAAAAAAATCCACAAAAAACAAAAAAGTCCCTAGATGACAGAACCTTGATACTGACCGCCCTGAAATCCCTTAGGGCATGGGGAAATTGATACCATTTCCAGTTGGGAGGGGTCAGTAAACTGTATCATTTTATAGAATACTAAATTGAAATAAGATCAAGAGCATTATAATAGATAATTTTTTGTTTTCACATTTTACATATTTTAGGGCTGGGAAGATGGCTCATTGGCACAGCGCCTACCTGGCAAGCACAAGGTCCTGAGTTCAATTCCCAGTACCAAAAAAAACCAAAACATTTTACATATTTTAGAAAAGAATACTAGCCTGGGTTTTCTGTTTTGTTTGGGTTTAATTTTTTTTCTCTTTTTTGTATGTATCAACTTTTAGGGGTTTGAGGCCAACCTGGGCTTCAAAGTGAGCTCAAGGTCAGCCTGACTTGCATAGTGAGACCCTGCCTCAAAAAGACAAAAAAAAAGAAAATAAACTTCAAGGGTTGCTGATGCAGAAGTCATTGGTGATTTAAATTACTCAGTTGCAATGTCAGTGCTCTTGAATACTGAAAGAGCAGTAGGTTTGTATAAATATATTTCTTCATTTAACACTTAAAGGAGAAAAGCTAAAATTGTACCAAACAGGAAGGCCTGAATGTTTGTCAGAGCCTGTGTGGGCTGGCGGAGCAGCTGGCTACCGGGAGATCAGTGTAAACTGCTCTGGAGGCTTCTCTGCTCCAGGCTGTCTTTCGCTTAAGTCAGCCTGAATTATCACCAAGCAGCTACAGCGAGTAAAAGTGACAGTTACATGTCTTCAGCTCTCTTTATAAATTTGTACAACTGAAATGAAATTTTATTTTTTCCTTGAGGTCTCTTCACAATTTACCAAAGAAAATCTTCCTGAGAGTTTACACTGCACTGTTGGAGTTGGCTTTTCTGAGGCTGCATTACAGTGCTGTGTTTACAAGGTCTTGCTATTTAGCTAGAAGTGTAGTGGCAAAACGTTTCAGGGCCTACTTTATCCTAAATCATAGCTGCTGAGCTTTTCCCGCTGGGAAGGCAGACTTTGTAATCTCAGATACCTGAGAAGTTCCCTAGGGAGCAGTTTTCTTAAAATTGGTTAAATGAAAAGGGCTTAAAACTGAACGCTGTCGGGCATGGTGGCGCATACCTATAATCCCAGCATTTGGGAGGCTGAGGCAGGAGGAATTGCCACAGAGTTTGAGGCCAGGTTGGGCTACATAGTGAGTTCAAAGGTAAGCCTGAACTACATAGCAAAACCCTGTCCCAAAGAAAAAACAAAAAACACAACGAAAACTGAATGCTAAATAAGTGAGCATAAAGTTGAAAAAAAAATCCTTTGCATTTATCATTCTACTACTTATTATAGTTAAATTTTTGCACAAATACTATTTATAACATGATAACTATCAATGAAGTCAATGGCCTGATGAGTAATTGATCTAAAGGTACAGGCATCTCTGCAGATGCCTGTCATTCTGTCAGCACTGTTAAGCCCTCTTTGGATATAATGTCTTCTCTTCTCAAACCTGAAGGTATTTCTCAGAAATATCTTCCCTTCATAGAGTTCATGTGTATATATTTATATGAATACATATTTTACATACATCAGTGATACCAAACAAGTTAAATTTTAGTTAACATAAGTAATTTTGTTTTAAATTAATGCTGCACCAGTTTCGAACAGAAAATATTAGATATGCCTGGCTATGTGGCTCAGTGGTAAAGCACTGGCTTAGTATGCATGAAGCCCTAGCTTCAATACCCAACGAGGTTAAAAAAATTTTTAGAAAAAATTAAATGTACAAACTAGATACCTATTATGAAGAAGTTCTGTCTTTCTCAATAAACTATGTGCTGTCTGTTCTTTTGTTTTGTTTTGGACATTTTGTTTTGTTTTGTTTTGTCTTGTCTTTTTGAGACAGGGTCTCACTATGCAGTTCAGGCTGGCCTTGAGCTCACTTTGTAGCCCAGGTTGGTCTCGATCTCCGAATGATCTTCCTGCCTCAGCCTCCCAAGTGCTGGGATTACAGGAGTGCGCCACCACGCCCAACCTCACTGTGCCTATTCTTATATAGTCAGTAAACTCTGTATGGTAAGAGCTGGGTGTGGGAATGCACACCGGTAATCGCAGCACTCAGAGGCTGAGGCAGGAAGGTTGTTGTGAGTTGGAGGCCAGTGAGTTCAAGACCAGCCTGAACTGCATAGCAAGACCCTGTCTCAAAAAGACCCCTCCTCCCAAAAAAATCTATACGATAGACTCTATAATTTGAAGTTTGAGCACTGCGTAAGTTTACATAATTCATAGCTTATCTTGTTTTCTTTCGCTGGGTTCGGGGAGGAGGTTGAGACAGGGTCTCACTATGCAATTCAGGCTGGCCTTGAACTTGATGAGGTAACCCATGGAAACCTTGAACTCATGGTGCTACTTTTGCCTCAGCCTCCCAAGTGCTGGGTTTATAGGCATGCACCACCACATCTGGCTATAGCCTGTTTTTTTCATTTGCTCTTCAAATGTTTCTAAAGCGGTTTTTTTTTTTAAAGCTGGGCTTGGTGGCTCATGCCTGTCACCTCAGCACATGGGAGGCAGCGGCGAGAGGACTGCCATGAGTTCAAGACCAGCCTGAACTGTGTAAAGAGAGCCTGTCTCAATAAACAAGGAAACAAACCAAACCAAAACTCATCAACCAAAGATGATCAAACCAGAATTTTTTTGCTAAAGAGGAATTTGAAAAATGATGAAATGGCTGGGAGTGCAGCTCAGTGGTAGAGTGCTTAAGCATTCATCAACCCTGTCTTCTGTCCCCAGAACCATTAAAAAAAAAAAAAGATGAAAGGGGCTGGGGATTTAGCTCAGTGGCACAGCGCCTGCCTGGCATGCGCAAGGTCATGAGTTCAATTCCTGGTACTGGAAAAATAAAAATAAAAAATAAAAAAGATAAAAAGTGATAAAATATAATACCATGAATTTAAATATGCAGAATTTACGTTAATCAGAATACTCATCAAATTTACATTTTTCTTCTTACTAGAATTTTCATACCACGTGATGCTCAACTTTATAATCCTAGGTGGAAGTTTTGTTGTTGTTGCTTTTCCTAGTCAGTGAAGCCTGTCTTTTCTTGAAAAAAGCACCAGCAGTTGTCAGGAGTGGAAAATAGGCCATGCTTAAAAGGGCAGTTTTTGCAGAATAACCTTGTTTTCTTATGTTTTTCTCCTGACTTACAAAAACTGCATGTAGGAGAAGGTTAAGTAAAGAATTTGGTTAGGTATCTAATAAAAATCTTTATTGAGTAAAGAGAAGATTTAAAGAAAAAATGTCAGTGGTAAAAATAGAGGTATGAAAAATCTGATTTATATGTGTAATATATTTTTATGGCCATAAGGACATATTATGCAATGGTTGTACTACACAGTAGATGATTTTTAATACTGTGCCAGTTGATACAAAAATAGATCTGCAGTAAGATCCCCTAAATAAAAATTGTGTACCACTTTCCTAAATAGTTACTACAGTTTCCTAAGTTTTCATTTTAACACATTAATAATTTCTGTGTTGACAGTGGGAAACAGGGTGCAGCTCATATTTTGACCTAGATATAACCGTGTCCACTATTTATTGTCAGAGTCCATGGTTTAGTAAAGCTGTTCTGCATTTAACTTTAAATATTAAACAGAATGTATCATGATATCGTAATAGTTTAAGATCCTAGCCGGGCCTGGTACCGCACGCCTGTAATCCCAGCACTTGGGAGGCAGAGGCAGGAGGATCGTTGCGAGATCGAGACCAGCCTGTGCTACAAAGTGAATTCATGGCCAGCCTGAACTGCACAGTGAGACCCTGTCTCAAAAATACAAAAAAAAAATAGTTTAAGATCCTTCATCTTTAATTTCTAATAAATGTGAAAAATATAATTTTAACATTATCTTCCTTTTTTTTAAATCATGAATCTAAACATTTTTAAACTAACTTTTCACTACTTTTTTTCAGTTAGCAGTATAAATTCTTTTCTTGGATCTGGGTGCTTTAATTTAGAATAATGATATTTCTCAGGACATTCTTGGGTTGTCTTTAACATAGTACACAAGTATTCAGACTTTTGCCATTAAATTCATTTTTCATGTAATGTTCATCTCTATGAAAGTTTTGTGGTTTAACAATCACTGTTACATACCTAAAATAGCCACAGATTCATTTGCATGAGGTATGTGAAAGTTATGTCTTGAAATGGATCTGTTAAATCCAGGATCTATTGTATGTTTGCAATGCTTTAACCTTCTCTTGATCCTCACATTTCTAGAGTTATCTGCAGTTAAAATTATGCTTCCTTTTAAAGATCTAACTGTTGCCGGGCATGGTGGCGCACGCCTGTAATCCCAGCACTCGGGAGGCTGAGGCAGGAGGATCGCTGTGAGTTCAGGCAAGCCTGGACTACATAGTGAGTTCAAGGTGAGCCTGCACTACACAGTGAGACCCTGCCTCAAAAGAACAAAACAAAATCATAAACAACAAAAAAAGATATGTCAGTTTCTTACAAAGGGAACATGTGTTGTCATTTATACATTCTTATGCGTTTATGTAGGTATATATGAAATTCAGTTTTTCAAACTGCATGATAGTTGCAGTATTATTCCCATCCCTGCCGTAAGAAAAAGTGTGCCACTTGATAAGCATGCAGTGAGCCCCAGTGAGACTTGCCCTCCGGTGCTTCTGCTTCGGTCTGGCAGCCAGTGTAAGATCGAGGTGAGGCAGGCGGTGGACGCTCACTGCCCACGCAGGCTGCGCTGTGGCTGGGCTAGCGCTGGCCGAGCCGGCCCTTGAGCACTGGGTGCACAGTCCGAAGCGAGGGGCTCTGTGCCAAGACAGACCTGGAAGGCGCTCAGTAGGAATGTTCAGACGCACTGAATGATGATTCCTCACAGTGCAGTAGTACACATGGTGTCAGCCCACACAGGTCAGCTTTTTATGAAATGTGATTGTATCGAGAGTTGATAACTTAGGCTTTCAGTTTTAGGAGGTTTCGAATGATTTCCTCTTCAATTAAACCCATCCTTTTCCTCCATTGTCTTTTAGTTCTTAAGACAGAAGAACAAGATAAGTCTCTACTGTGTATGTGTGTTTATCTCTCCGCACGTGTGTACAGCTATGCTAAGATGTGCTGCACGGCGTGTGCACATACACAGTGTGTGCTGATGTGTGTGCCGGGAAGGGCGGCTCTGCCTGTTGAACTGTGCTTGACTCGAGTATTTGATTGGATACAGTTGCTATGATTGTATTCATCAATTTTTCAGTAAAGTAATGTTTGTCTTTAAAATGGAAAATGTAAGGAGCTCTATTTTGTTTGGCCAGCTTATTGTTTGAGAAGCTTAAACTTAAGTTAACCTCATCCTTACGTATCTTGCTTACCGTATTACTGTGAAGTATTCTATTTTTGCAATGGTCTGTTTGAATTAAACTTCTAAAAGTATAAGAATCATAAAAAATCCCATTTTGTCATATTGTTGTATATTTACTATAAATTTATACTTTTAAATATGACCTTTAAAGTTGCTATATGGCATTTCCTTCTTATAGCTGTCCCAAGATGAATGTAGAGGCACATTATACAAATACAGACCCGAAGAAGTAGATATTGATGTAAGTATGAGTATCGTGTTTATTGCCAGTGTGCTGATAGTCTGCCCAAACCCTGCACACGAGCAGTGACCAGAGAGCTTCTTCCCATGCATCCAAAATTGATTTAACATAAAGTAAACTGGCTTTTTTTTCCTGTAGCACATAAATTACCACTTCCTGCCCCAGGTTGCCCACCCCCTGGTGCAGCTGTGAGCACTGAACAGCGCTTACCTGAAAAGTAAAGACTTACAGAGTAGAGAAGAGCTACAGAGGTCTGGAAACAAAAGTGACTGTGCCTTCGGGACAAGGGACCAGCCTCGGAGGTTCGGTCAGGGCTCCCGCGGGAGTTCTCGTTTAACTCCTCCCCGAGGCTGCTGAGGAGCAGACACTCTTCCCTGCTTCCCATGCCTTTATGCCACCAGCTCGCTCCTCCTCACCCTGACACCTCCCATTGGACACGGCCCGTGTCTTGTCTGACAGAGTTAGAGTAATCATTTCCAGAGGCAAACAGCAAAGCGGGCAAAGGCTCGACTTTCTGGCTTACTTGTCAGAATGCCATAAAGTTTAGCACTGTTTTTTGGGTTTTTGGGTTTTGCAGGGTTGTTTCATTTTGTTTTGGTTTTTGAGACATCAAAATTGAGTTTTTGTACTATCAAAATTACAGAGCCTTCTCATACGCTCATCATCTTGAAAGTGAGGTGCTGCTAGCTAGTGCACCGGCACATGCCTGACCTGAGCATTTGGGAGGCTGAGGCAGGAGCTCAAGTTTAAAGCCAATCTGGGCTGTAGAATGAGATCCTGTGTCAAAACAAAGGGAATGAACACTAAGCATTTAGATCAGAACTTGGACTGAGAGGTAGCTACCATGCATGAAGCCCTGGGCTCCATGCCCATCACTATGGGGGGAAAAACTATTGCAAATTATTTTTGTCCAAAGCAGTATTTTTATTGTATTATTACATTTGAGGATTATTTGTAAATGCAGCTGGGAATGGTGGTGGCTTACTCAGGACTGAGGCAGAAAGAGTGAGAGTTTGAGGCCATCCTAGGAAACCCAGTAAGACCATCTGTCAAGGAACAATCTAGCACATGCCCAGTCTCACCTGTGGTGACACATGCCTGTAATTCCAGCACTCAGTAGGCTGAGGCAGGAGGATCACTGTGAGTGGCAGGCCAGCCTGGGCTCTCTAGTGAATCCAAGGCTAGCCTGGACTACATAGCAAAATCCATCTCAAAAAAAAAAAAAAAAAAAAAGACAAAATTACCTCTTTGTGTATCACTCATTTTAGCTTATCCAATAGATGGGGGGGGCTCTTAGCTGTATTAAAATATTAGAATCATGGACTAAGGATATTTTGAAATGCATAAGTTAAATAGTATGGCAGAAATGTTTTTACATTGTGTGCATATTATTTTTCTGTCTTTATAAGCTGTATTTTAAATCTGATGTTACTGATTGAAATAAAAATCACCTCATGCCGGGTGTGGTGGTGCACACCTGTAATCCCAGCACTCGGAAGGCTGAGGCAGGAGAACTGTTGCAAGTTCAAGACCAGCCTCAACTACAAAGTGAGCTCAAGGCCAGCCTGAACAGCATAGCGAGACCCTGTCTCAAAAATACAGAAAAAAAAAAAGAAATGAAAATCACCTCATTTGGTATTCCATTCCTGTTTTTAATGGCTACCTACAGCCAATTCCAGAAAAAATTAAAAATTGCTAACAAATGACATCTTCTCTTACAACCTAGGCCAAGTTAAGCCGATTATGTGAACAAGATAAAGTGGTACATGCGCTGGAAGAGAAACTTCAGCAGCTCCACAAGGAAAAAGTAGGACAATTATGTTTGTTATCCGCCATGGATGTTACTTTACATGATGGTTATCAGGACATTGATGACTGCAGTAGAAAGAACTAATTTAGTGATGCAGAACATTAATTGTAATTCTTCTCATTATAACAGTACACGCTTGAGCAAGCCCTGCTGTCCGCCAGCCAGGAGATTGAGATGCACGCGGACAGCCCCGCCGCCATCCAGACCGTGGTGCTGCAGCGGGACGACCTGCAGAACGGGCTGCTGAGCACCTGCCGCGAGCTCTCTCGAGCCACCGCCGTACGTAACCGCGTCTGACGTGCTGCGCGGCTCTATGTAGTGGGCTGTCTTAGGAGTGCTTTTTATTATTATAACAAGAAGTGTTCGCCCCAGCGAAAATTGTTTAAAATGCATTAGAAGTATTACATTAAAGAAGTAAATAGGGGCTGGGGATGTAGCTCAGTGGCACAGCACCTGCCGCGCAAGCGGGAGGTCTGGAGTTTTGATTCCCAGTACCAAAAAAAGAAGTAAATAGTCCGGTATGGAGGCACATCCCTGTAGCCCCAGCACGCAGGAGGCTGAGGCAGGAAGATCTGTGAGTTTGAAGCCACCCTAGGCTATGTAGTGAGCTCAAGGCCAGCCTAAACTGCATAGCAAGACCCTGTCTCAAAAAACAAAACAAACAAACAAAAAAAAAATCATTTCAATATTTTGTAAATTTTAGGAGATAAACTCATTCAACCAGGTAATTTTTATAAAAATATCTGTGGAAGCATATGAGAAAACATCAGCATTGCCATTTCATAACTGCTGTGTAGTCTAAGTTCGGCTGACACGATGTAATTAACAGAATCTTCTAGCCCACAGCTGTGTGGCTTTATGAGTCTTTCAAGATTAGCAAACATACAGCAGTCCTGCCGGGATGCACTGGGTGTTTAGTGAGATGAAGCGGTGTGCTTTAGATCCCGGCCTGTTGTCATCTCAGGTTAGTCAGCCCCTACCCCAGCCTTTTAGAAATCCTGACAAAGCGGCCTCAGTGGAGAAAACGGACCCCCTTGTCTGTACCTTCCAGGGCCACAGGCAGCCCAGCTTGACTCAGGTCTTCACAGCCCAAGGGGCCAGAACCTGTTCAGAGCTTCCATCCTGAACCCCAAACTAACGTTCCAAGTATTTTATTTCTTGGTTTGGTTTTGTTTTATCTTGGGGGTGTTTTATTTTGTTTTGGTTTGATTCTTACTTTGATTTGGGGAGATTTTGCTTTTGTTTTTTAGCTATTAAAGTATTTATTATACCATGGTTTAAAGTAAGTCAAGCTGGACATGGTGGCGCACGCCTGTAATCCCAGCACTCGGGTGGCTGAGGGAGGAGGAGCTTTGTGAGTTCAAGACCAGCCTGGGCTACAAAGTGAGCTCAAGGCCAGCCCGAACTGCATAGGGAGACCCTGTCTCAAAAAGACAAAACAAAAAAATTGTTTACAGATATTTTAAAAATTAATATTTTTCTCTATTGTGAACTTAAAATCAGAGACCGTGTCTCACTTCTCTGAGTTGCTCTAACATCCAGCACTACGGGATAAACATTAACAATCTGATGAATGATGGAGCAATATGACGTACCCAGTGTGACAAAGTTAAAGATAAGAGGCCTAGAGCTTGAGTCTAGGCCTTATCACAGTCATGAGGACTTCGCTCCACGTGGGTTGTTACAGTATAGCCAGAGAGGAGACACAGGCATGCGGGATATTAACAACAAACAACAGAGTAGTCACTGGGCAGGGGGTGTAGCGCAGCGGTAGAGCATTTGTGCAGCACTGAGAAAAGCAAAGCACCATGCTGAGTGAGCTTTGCCGGGGGAAGCGGAAGCAGAGGGTGGTCAACGCAGGGCGGACTCTGTAAACCAGCTCCAGGGGAGAGCGGAAGAGACGCGCCTGCAGAGGCGGGAAATGGAACAGACGGGCTGGCTCACGTAGGAGATTTCCCATAGAGAACAGAGAACGTGGGACTGGGGGGAGAAGATGAAGCTGTCCACGCCAAGCTAATGGAACGTGCAGCGTCCCTAGGACCAAATCAAAGTGGTGGGCTGTTCTGATGTGGAGTTGACAGCTGTGTAGTAGTTTAGTGTCTTTTCTTGAAGTTCCTTTTTTTTTTTGAGACCGGATCTTACTGCGTAGCCCAGGCTGGCCTCAAACTTGTGGCAGTCCTCCTGTCTCAGCCTCCCAAGTGTTGGGATTTACACACATGTGCCGTCACACCCAGCTGAAATTTCAATTTTAGAAAATGCCTTCCCTTACCAGCTGAACTTAGTAAATTAAATCTCATCAGTAGGCTTAGAATTTGCTCATTCCTAAAATGAGCTCCAAGCCTGACGGGAAGTTTGTTCAAAATGCCCTGATAGAAATTGACTCGTTTGACTATCTCTTTTTTGGGTTCATATCCTGTATAGCCACCTTCCTAGGGTTTTTCCTTCAGCGTTTATCAGTTATGACAAACCCTCCGAATGCGTTCTTCTAAGACATGTCTTACTGCATAGAATACAAACTACGCGCTTGGTGCCGTTATGTAAACTTAGTATGTTTGTAGCTTGCGGGTGCAGATGTCAGCGTGTGCATAGCGTCGTACCGGGCGTATGGTTGGCACTCAATGACTGTTGACTAGATTGCAATCTGAATGGCATTTGTGCCGGCAGAATCTGAGTCAGTCCAGGGCTTCTTTCAGAGCCCCAGGCCTAGAGGTGTTACGGTAGCGTCTCCTAGATCGAAGCCTCATTGCTGAGATCGAACCTGCTCAGCCTGCAGGACGGGGAGGAGCGCAACACCTGGCCTGGCGCGAGGTGAGCGCAGAGAGCAGTGCACCTCGTGCATCTGACCGGCTGCTGATTCCTGCCGCCTTCGTGTTGCCCTCGCTGCCGCTTACCTTTGTCCGGCCCTGATTAAAGGGAAAGATTATACTGACAGCTATACCTTCAGATCAGTTTTTTAGTGCGTCCTAAATTGGCATTCCCCTCTGAGAGCAGAGCCCGAGGTGAGGAACTGATTTCAGACACTTTATTTGGAGGCTGGTTCCAGAAAGCAGAAATGAGGGAATGGAGCGAGCCGAGAAGAGGAGAAGCCAGTACAGGCTGCGCTCCTGGCCACGTCACTACCCTGGACAGCGAGACTTCGGGCCCACTGGGGACTCAGGACAGGAGTGGCTTCCCACTGCAGCCTGGGGTCCTTCACCCCACAAGCCCCTGGCACCTTCCCTCACGGCGAGCTCCCCACAGGACACTGCAAAACCTTGTGGGCAGGGGGTGCCGCTGCTGTCACCGCCGCTCAGGGAGCCCACACTGGCCCCGACTCCGGACCGCAGAGTTGTCCTGTCCTCCCCTGCTCCATTGGCTCACGGTGCCGCTGCTCTCATGCCAGACGCAAGAAGCACAGGGACGGAGGCACAGAGAGTTTGTGACTGAGAGGATCAGAGCTTCTGAAGAGATTTGTTTGTTTTTCACAGAAATCATCTGGCTTGAAAGTTAACAAAATCCTATGCAAATTCAATGGGATCACCTGCATCCTGTTCGTATTTTATCACCTCTGACACACAGATGAATGTGAGATTATGGAACACAAGTGATCCGCAAAGGTGACATAAGTAATAAGGGAGAGAGTACCTAAACCAGGGGCTTGCTGGACATGGTGGCGCACGCCTGTAATCCCAACACTTGGGCGGCTGAGGCAGGAGGATTAGTGCCAGTTCTAGGCCAACCTAAACTACATGGCAAGACCCTGTCTCCTTCCGCCCAAAAAAAAAAAATCGAGGGCTTTTCCTTCTCAGACACTAAAACCTCTGATCTCTTTCATTAGCGATGTGGTTATGTAACTAGTGCTCTCTGGCTCTTGGAATCAAATCTAGATTCTCTAACTCAAAAAAATCTAAAATTAAAAGAAGAAAGAGAAGAACAATCTAAAATTAGTAGCTGAGGAAAGGAACCTCAAGCAGGAGAAAGCAAGTACAAGGTCCCCATAAATCATGCTAGCAGATGGCTTTGGCACGTACCAGACACAGACTAGCAGCAGCGTAGGAAATACTGGTAATAACTGTGAACGTCTCTTGAGCAATTATTGCATCCTGGGTTCCACTGTATTTGTGTGGTACAGGCATGTAGTCTACATAACAATCTTTTGTTGTGGGTACCAGTACCATATTTAAAAATAGGAAACAGAAGCCAGGCATGGTGGTACATGCCTATAATCCCAGCACTTGAGAGGCTGAGGCAGGAGGATCACCACAAATTATCCCCCAGCCTGAGCTATGTAGTGAGACCCTGTCTCAAAACAAAGCCAAAGACAGGAGAGAGAGGCAATCCTTTAAAGGAATTGAAAGGGAAGCAATACCACCAAATTCTTTCCTGGAAGCAAGCATTATTCTGATATCGAAACCAGAAAAGGATCCAACCACAAAAGACAACTACAGGCCAATCTCCTAATGAACATAGGTGCAGAAATCCTCAATAAGATCCTGGCCAACAGAAGGCAGGAAATCATCAAGAACATACACCATGACCAAGCAGGAGTCATCCCAGGGAGGCAGGGATGATTCAGCATAAGCACACCAGTAAATGTTATACACTGTGTTGACAGAGCTAAGGACAAAAACCATGTGAGCGTCTCCACAAAGTCCCAACACCCATGTATGATCTATTATTAAAAATTTTTTCTAATCCCATCACTTGGGAGGCTGAGGCAGGTGGTTTGAGTGTGGCTACATGTTTGAGGCCAGCCTGGGCTACACAGAGAGTTCAAGGCTAGTCTTGACTACATGGCAAGACTGTTCAAAAAAAAAAAAAAGGACTTTTGCACAGCAAAAGAAACCACCAACAAAATGAAGAAACAATGCTAAGAGTCCAACTCACCCCAGGAAGAATGGCTACTATCAGGAAATCAACCAGTAACAAATGCTGGAGGGGCTGTGGGGGAAAAGGAACCCTTCTCCACTATTGGTGGGAATGTAGACTGGTGCAACTACTGTGGAAATTAGTGTGGAGATACCTCAGAAAACTAAAACTAGAGGTTCCATTTGACCCGCTGCTCCCCTTCTAACGTGTCTTTTCAAAAGAAAAGCATCAGATCACAGCAATACACACACACCCATGTTTATAGCGGCTCAGTTTGTAACAGCTGAGTCTTGGAAACAACCCAAATGCCCATCGGCGGATGAATAGATAAAGATGTGGCTTTTTTAAATAAATGGAGCACTGCTCAGCCATGAAGAAGAATAAACTGGAGGCTTTTCTAGGTAAATAGATGCATCTTGACCATACTCTTAAGTGAAATAAATTGGACACATGTAAATACTGCATTGTTTCTCTTGTGTGAGAAACCAAAAATGTACATAAAGACCAAAATGTATAATAGATATTGAAAATGGGAAGAAAACGTTCATATGGGGAGGGGGGCAAGGAAGGGGAGAGAGAGGAAGGAAGGAAGGGAAAAGAAAAAATGGAAGGAGAACATAGAAGCAAAACTTTTGTAAATAAGGAGGGGAAGAGGGGTTGAAGGGAGCAGGGAGGAATGGGGGAAAAGCAGCAGCAAGATGTCATGTAGAGGTGCAAACTCCCTGTGCTGAACATTGTCAGTGTATATATATATATACACTGTATGTGTATATATATATATATATATAAAATGCAGGAGAAAAAAAAGAAAAAAAGGGGCTGGGGATATAGCTCAGTGGCATAAGCACCTGTCTGGCAAGCGCAAGGTCATGAGTTCGATCCCCAGTACCGCAAAAAAAAAGAAAAGAAAAAAATAAGAATTTATTTTTTTTAGGGGCTGGGAATTTAGCTCAGCGGCAAAGCGCCTGCCTGGCAAGCGCAAGGTTGTGAGTTCAATTCCTGGTACCAGAAGAAAAACAAACAAACAAACAAAAAAAGAATTTATTTTTTTATTTTGCTTTCTTGTTTGTTTATTTGGGTTGGGGTTTTTTTGGCGAAGGGAGGGGATCCAACAGAGGCTTGCTGTGTATTCCAGGCTGGCCTCAAATTTATGGTGATTCTCCTGCCTTAGCGTCCCACCGTACTGAGGTGGATGTGCCCCACCATGCCTAGTTAATTCGCTTTCTTTCCCCTAGAGGTACTTGGTTCTCCCCACCCTACCTCAGGGGTTGAACCCAAGGCCTGGACCCAAGCTCTGCCTCCTCAGGAGGGAAGATGTGCCATGAGCCGGGCACAGTGGCACATGCCTGTAATCCCAGCTGTTCACGAGACAAGCAGGGGGCCCAGGTCAGCCGAGGCAATGAGGGAGATTCTGTGGAGGACAAAGGGTGTGACGAGCGGGGAGTGCTTGCCTAGCATGTACCGGGCCTTGGGCTTGTACTGCTGCAGCTTTACAAGATGGTTCACTGACGGCTGTTGAGAACGGTGGCAGTTTCCAAACACACTGCTTTTGTATTTGGGAATTTCCATTGTGTGTGCTGAGAGTAGCTGAGGGTAGACCTGCTGCACATCGCCATTGCTCGTGGCTGAGAGAGGAGAGTTCTCACCGTAAGCCTGGAAATGCAGTGTTAACCTTCAGACAATAAGATCATAGTATGTATCTGCCGTGGAACACTGTAATATAGTTAGATATTGAAATCCTCGTTTCAAAAAAAAAAAAAAAAAGAAATCCTCGTTTCGTGTTGTTTTGTTTTGTGCTGGGATTGAACCCAGGACCTCTGCACATTTTTCATTTGAGACCAGGTCTCACTAGTTTGTCCGGGCTGGGCTCAAACATTGAAGCCTCCGCCTCTGCCTTCTCAGTGGCTGGGACTGCGGGCCTGCACCAACGCCAGCCTTCCTCATTGAGGTTTTGAGAGTCTAGGCTCCCAGTGCCCCTGAGTGCACCGGACCCACTTGAAGAGTTCTTTTCTCCACAGTGGCCTGATCTTATCATTACAGACTATAAAAAGTGACCACAGTTGAAGCTCCCTGCTGCACCCTATAAACAGAGACTGATCACATTTGTGAAAACTCTCCTGCCATCACGGTAGCAAATCTCTGTCCTCCCTCAAGGCCAGGCATTTTTAAAACCTTTGTTGGGCCAGACGTGGTAGCCCATGCCTATAGTTCCAGCACTCGGAAGGCTGAGGCAGGAGTGTGTTTGAGGCCAGCCTGGGCTATATAGTGAGCTTAAGACGAGCCTGAATTACAGAGCAAGACCCTTTCTCCAAAAAAAAAAAAAAATAGAAGTTTTAGCGTTGTATTCATATAATCTATTAAGTTTCTTCATTTCTTTGTTTGTTTTGATTGTTTTCTGAGACAGGGTCTCACTAAGTTGCCCAGGCTGCCCTTCAGGTGATAGTCTCAAGCAATCCTGCCGCCTCAGCCTCCTGAATAACTGGGATTACAGGAATGCGCAGCCACACCTAATATATATGAAATTCTTGAGTAAAATATTCAGCCGGGTATTGGGAAGAACTGGCCATTTCTCCGTCTCGCCCCTTGTTGACTTGTGTCACTGTCCAGCCCTGAGACTTGTCGCGGGAGCCAAGAGAGCAACAGGGCAGCCCAGCAGGATTATGGGCCTGCGGCCACGCTGGCAGGGGGCTCGGAAGCCTGTTGCGCGTCTTTGCACCCAGACTGTGGCGAGGTCCCCTCTTGCCCTCCGTGCTGTTTCTCCAGGAAGCACAAGGCTCCCGCACTGAGTTGTGCTTGTGTTTGGGTGTCTGTCAGGCCCCTTCTGCCCCCTCTGAAGCCTCCGTGGGCCCCTGTGTGAATGCCCAGCCTTCGTGACCCACGCAGATTAGAAGGTGGCGAGAAGCAAATTTGGTTAAAAAAGGAGAAAGACCAGTTTCCACATTTATTCAAGTAAAAAGTTTGCTCTAGCCAAGAGACTAATATTTACATAATATAGATGAGATAAAAATCTTTAGTGCGTTATCACTTTGCCTTTTTAAAATTTAATTCCTATAAAACCTGCTTAATAGACTCCCTAGATTATCCACATAATGTAGAAATGATAAAATTTTCAGTGCTTTATCTCTTTGCTTTTTTTTAATTCAATATAATTCACTTTAAAACCAGCTTAAGGAAATCTTTTAAATGCACAAAGCAATTATTCCAAAGGCCAAGTTTCAATACTCATTTTAATTTTTTAAAGTGTGCTCCTGGAATAATTCTTCATTACCTCACTTTTTTAAGCTAGTTGCAGAATACAAATTAAAATAACTCTTTAAAGAACCTTTAGGCTGATCTCAGTGGTGCATACCTGTAATCCCAGCTGCCTGAGAGGCGGATTGAGAGCCCAGGAACAGCCTGGGCAATGTACCTGCGATGCCCTGTGTCAAACGAAAAGTACTGGGGATAGCGTGTGGTGCAGGTACTGCTGGTTCAGTCCCTACTAGTACAGGAGCGGAGAGGGAGAGAGAACTTTTAGGATGTTACCTGTGTTGCTGCTTTTTTAAAAAAATGTGTGCATATATGCGCATGCGTGGAAGGGTACTGGGGGACAAGCTGGGGGTAATGCACCCTGGAGCTACACCCCCAGCCCTGGTGTGCCCCAGACTTCTTGCCCTTGTTAAACTGAATTTACAGGGCTGCTTCATTCAGCTCACGGCAACAGTTCCCTAGCTTAGTAAGGTTCTGAGAGCGTTACTAATTCATGTAATTACAATAGTCAGTCCTTGTTTGTTGGGTCATTTTACATTTGCCAAAGCCACACTAAATTGTGGCAATAAAATAGAAATTAAATACCCCCCTTGCCGCCAGCTTAGCTGTTTGCTACCCTACTGTGTAGTGCTCTGGAGTGTCTAGGGGCGCCGCACCCCCATAGAAAGGTATCCCTGCAGCAGGACAAGGTGATGTGTTTTACAGCACTGGTGGAGCCATTCTACGTTCCAGAGGAAGCTTCTCTGTGATTTTATGGTGTGAATGTAATTGATTTTTCTCAAAAAGAAAGCCAAAGGCAGATAGCTTCTATATTGAATCTATGAGCAGGATTCATTGAAGGGTTCATGTAGTGGACAAAATTTAGTTTGGTATTGTTACATTAATGTTGAGTTTATTCTACAGAAACTTACTCAAGCTTCTAGTATTATTGAAAATCTAATAAGCTAAAAAACAAAGTATTCAGTATTTTTATTCATGGGAAACTTGCCTTTGTTTTTTGAGATAAGCTCTTACTACATTGTCCAGGCTAGGCTTGAACTCTTGGCAGTCCTTCTGCCCCAACCTCCCAAGGGCGGAGATTACAGGAGTGCACCACCTCGCCTGGCCCATTCATGGGAAACTTTTATTCAGGACAGTCAGGAGTGTATCTGTACCTCTTCCTCATTTTACAAAACTACCTTCAAGAAGAACTGACCATGTTCCCAAGAATAAATCAAACTGTTTCCTACAGATAACGCTCTATACATAGCAGAACTAATTCAAATATTTTGGTGTCATAAAGGAATCATTGTTAGGTGAGTTGTGTTTTGTTTTTAAAAATTTCAGAACAACAGCAACGCAGTACAAATACTTAGGTTGTGCAGTGAGTTTTTATTCAAGTAAAGGAAAAAGAAAATGAAAATAAGTTATAGAAATCTTTATCTTGCACTGTGTAGACTACAGTTTTCTAAACCCAGAAGGGTCTTAGCTGGCGTGAGAAGCCGAGGGCACGTTCTCCCCGCGAGCGGGGCTGACGCTCTGGTTGCAGGAGCTGGAGCGAGCGTGGCGCGAGTACGACAAGCTGGAGTACGACGTGACCGTGACCCGGAACCAGATGCAGGAGCAGCTGGACCGCCTCGGCGAGGTGCAGGTGCGGACGCGAGCATTGTCCCAGGCTCTTCACTCACTGACAGCTGCTGTGCAGCCCACCCTGCTGCGGTCACCTCCTCACTGCCAGCCGTCGCCACGCGGCTCTGCGTACTCAGTACTCACAGGGGAGCCCGTCGCTCTTGTTTAAAAGCTCTCTATGCGGCTGGGCATGTGGTGACCCGGGGTGTCCTGTGCCTCCTCACGGTCTCAGCTACTTGCCTTTCAGAAGCCCACATGTGACCTGGTCATGAGCTGTTGGGTTATATGACTTTTTTATGCTTTTTAATTTTTTTTAAATTATTTTAAAATAGGCATGGTGGCTCATATCTGTAATCCCAGCACTCAGGAGGCTGAGGCAGGAAGATCATTGGGAGTTTGAGGCCAGCCTGGGCTATAAAGTGAGGTCAAGGCCGGCCTGAACTGCATAGTGAGACCTTATCTCAAAAAGATTAAGAAAATAAAATAAATTATTTCAAAACAGGCATGTTTGCTCACACCTGTAGTCACAGCACTCGGGAGGCTGAGGCAGGAGGATTCCCAAAAGCTCGAGGCCAGCCTCAACTACATAGTGAGTTCAAGGCCAGCCTGGACTACATAGTGAGACCCTGTCTCAACAAAACAAAACAAAATAATAAAATAAAAAATTATTGTAGTCCATTGTGTTTTTTCTTTTTTGTTTTGTTTTGGTTTTTGAGACAGCGTCTCCCTATGCAGTTCAGGCTGGTCTGGAGCTCACGTAGCCCAAGCTGGTCTCGAACTCACAACTATCTTCCTGCCTCAGCCTTCCGAGTGCTGGGATTACAGGCGTGCACCACCACACCCAGCACTGCTTATTTTTTTTTCTTTTTTTTTTTGGTTTTTCTCCGGTACTGGGAACCGAACTCACGACCTTGCGCTTGCCGGGCATGCGCTTTGCCGCTGAGCTAAATCCCCAGCACCCCCAGCATTGCTTATTAAATGTCTTGTCAAACTGTTCAGCCTACTCCTAATGAACAAGTTGTGGGCGGAGCCAGCCCATTTGAGACACAGAATGCACTTTGCAAACAGGCAGATCTAGTGTGGAGTTCTAGGCTTAGTCTTCTTATCTGCAGAACAAATAGCAGCTGTCTCAGAATGTTGCTCTGAGGAGTGGAGATATGTGTATATTTTAAGAAAACAGCAAAAGTCACTTGGCACTGAGGACTCTCTGCAAGTGTGATCATCTGCATTGAAAACCTAGTGCCCCCACAGACCAATACAGCCGTTACAGGCTTCGTAGGATCTACTCAGAAAGCCGTTGTCCTCTGCCTATGCCACACGTGCCCCTGCCCACATGCAGCTGTTGGGCATGAGAATTATGGCTGTTGTGAAAAACAACTGAACTTTCAATTTTATTCATTTTAGTTATTTAGCCATATGTCTCTGTGGCTTCTGTATAAAATACTGAAATTACACTTCCAGTAACCACTACAAAGATTAGAGACTAAGGCTGGGCATGGAGGCACGCATGTGTAATCCCTGTACCGGGGAGGCTGAGGCAGGACGATCACTGCAAGCTTTCAAGGCCAGCCTGGACTATATAATGAGACCCTGTCACAAAAGAAGAGAAAAAAAAATAGTCCAGCTTGCGTTACATAGTAAGTTCATGGCCAGCCCGAACTATGAGACCTCGTCTCAAAAAACAAGAGCAAGCCAGGCATGGTGGCACACTCCTGTAATCCCAGCACTTGGGAGGCTGAGGCAGGAGGATCATTGGGAGTTCAAGGCCAGCCTGGGGTACAAAGTGAGCTCAAGGCCAGCCTGAACTGCACAGTGAGACCCTGCCTTGAAAAGACAAAAAATAAAATAACTTTTTTTAAAACAGGCATTGTGGCTCATGCTTGTAATCCCAGCACTTGGAAGGCTGAGGCAGGAGGACTGTTGTGAGTTCGAGACCAGCCTGGGCTACAAAGTGAGCTCAAGGCCAGCGTGAACTGCATTGTGAGACCCTGCCTCAAAAAAGAACCCCCCCCAAAAAAAAAAAAAATATATATATATATATATATCAGTAAATAGCATAGTTACCTATGCTGAAATAGATTGGCACACCTTTTCTCTTAAAGGTCAGATATAAAGTATTTTAGGCACTGCAAACATACGTTACATACTGTGTTACACATTGTATTATTTGGTGGTGTGGGCGGTTGTTGAGAGGGTTTCCACGTATAGTCTAGGCTGGCCTTGAACTCACTGTGTAACCCATGCTGGCCTCGAACTCCCAGTGATCCTCCTGCCTCAGCCTCGAGTGCTGATCTGTGGATGCATGGTCGGTAGGGCATCCTTCCTGGGGGGGGACATTCCGGCCTCTTCCACCCGTGACTGCCGGTCTCCCCGCAGAGCGAGGCGGCGGGCCTGGAGCGTGCACAGCTGCAGAAGGAGCTCTGGCGGATCCAGGACGTGGTGGAGGGGCTCAGCCAGCACAAGCAGCTGCGGGGCACGGCCGAGGCCGGTGAGTGGCCGCAGTCCACTGGCGTCCAAATAGGTGACACACATAGTTGGACTTCTTTTGCTATTTTAACGGGTTTTGCATGAGAACTCCTTATAACATTACATTAATACAGAAGGTATAAAAGCTGCGCCCATGCAAACGTAATCAGTGTTTTGCTTGTATGACTGTAACACGTGCGGGCTGCGGCTTTAGTTCCTTTCTCCCACTCTTCTGCAGTTTGTCCCTCCAGGTGCAGGTGTGGAGCCGAGCTTCTGCGCACACCTAGGCACGTGCTCCCCTGAGCTCGCCCGCCGGCCCTTCCGGTCTCCTGCGGGGGCGGGGCTTCCTTCCCACTGCGCCTTGCGTGCCGGAGCGTGCGCCGTGCAGCCGCCGGCCCTGTGTTGTTTCCCAGAGTCTGGTTTCGCTGCCTTAGCCATGCTGTAGTGCACATCATTGCGCATGCACCAGGACGCGTTGCTAGGACTCGGTCCACTGTGATGGAGCCATATTGTTTTCCTAGAGGAGGATCTATGACTGAGCCTGCGCTGCTGTTGTCTGCTCGCTTAGCCATACGTTTCGCTTCAACCAAATATTTCAGTCTGTATTTTTACGATGTAATTGTTTTCAATCATGAAGTTATTAATAATTAAGAGACTCTAAACTGAAGATTGTATTTAAAATAGGTGAAATATTATTTCTGTATATTAGAAAAATGTGTTTAGTATAAACAGTTATCTTTCTAATTTTGTCCAACAGGAGTGCCAGGATCAAAACCTTTCACAACAGTTAAGTACAAAAATGAGGTAAGTTTGGATCGGTTTTCTAGCAGTAAGCTACTTTAAATGTGTAACATGAATTAGAAGTAACGAAGTCTACTCTTGTATCACAAATGCTTTTTAAATATATTGAAACTTTTTTTAACCTTAAAATTTTATTGGTTTAATTACGGTGCTTCTAACATAGTTTTTCTTTCATTGATGCAAAAGAGTATTGAAACACCGCTTTTCTCATCTGTTAGGACTGTAACGCTGTCATAACTTTGTCTAAGTAATTTGAATACTTACAATGACTTCTTCTACTGTGTACAATTTGGGGGATGATTGACAGCTAAGTTGGTTCTGTGTTGTGCATGGCATAAAGGAATTTCCACTATAAAGAGATACTGTCAACCTAGTTGAAAGAACCTGTGGTCTTGAATTTTGTATAAAAGCCCCAGAAAATGTTTCTTTTTTTCCTCTCTTACAGATACAGGGGGGAAAAAAACTACAGAAGCCTAATGATACATTTTAGAAAGGCAGAAATTTGTTCTTATTTTTGTCGTGGTTACTTTCACATATAAAATAAAATTAATAGTAATGTTTCTGTGCATCAAAAAAAGTTGCAGAAAGTAAAGAATAATGCTTTAATCAGTTCTTCTCTTTGTAAAGCAAAGTACAGTAGTTTGCCACGGCAGTCTTTTGCAGTACTGAGTTTCAGAATAAAGCTAGCCTGCATTTTATAGGGAAAAAAAATGCATACAACCAGACTTAAAACCAGATTATTGGCTATCCTAAAAAAAAAGTCTGGTTGCACTTTTCCATATGAGATGTTCGGTTTGACAGTGTCCCTTTAAGGATCGGGAAGTCAGTTTACGTTGATGTACCATTGCAAAGAATTGCGTTGATGTACCATTGCAAAGAATTGCGACGTGCTTAATTCAATCTGCTTATCTAAACAAGGTGACTGTTCTACAATCTTTAGGAAGAGGAAGTAGCCCCACCTCGTCCTCCACTTCCTCGGTCCTATGACTGTACAGAGCAGCCTCCCATAGCCCCCCCTCTGCCCAGTGACAGCAGCTCCTTGCTCTGTTATAGCAGGGGCCCCGTGCATCTGCCAGAAGACCAGAAGCCTCGCCAGGTGCAAGGGCACCCGAGAAATGGAGCTCACTGTGTAAGTGGCTGCCAGGCCACGCCGACCCACCCAGCCTGCCCCCTCATGGGAGATTGCTTGACACCCAAGCTTGTTTTCGTTATAATCCTGCCTGTAGCCGGTGCTGTTCTGTTTCTACATTATCATTTGTGTTTTTCCTGTTTTGGTTTTACCATTCTCGCTTTTTAATATTTTCATAACTTTTAATATTTCATAACATTTTTTTCATAAAGTGGTTGCTTTACCCCTGTTGAAGGAGCCATATTTTAAATATATTATTTCAGAATACTAGAGGGAAATTTGTATCTCCCAATCAAAAGAAGAAAAAAGCAGATTTTATTAGGAGTGGTGCAAGGGTGGAGACTGGACAGTTTGGACTCGAAAAAATGCTTAAAAGATAGGGATGTGGCCACGTAGAGCTCTTAGCCACAGCCACTGGAAATAGGAGACTTGGCGCCAGATGTGGCCCAGACCTGTAATCCCAGCACTCAGGAAGCTGAGGCAGGGGGATCACAAGTGTGAGCCCAGGCAGGGCAGCTTATAGACTTCACAAGACTGTGTCGCAAAATAAAAATACACAAAGGGTTTGGGGGTGTAGCTCATCAGTGTGAGGCCCTGGGTTCAGTCCCCCAGTGGCGTGAAAGAAAGAAGGGGGTGTGGGATAAGAGGTTTGGAATTAGGTAAACAACTCTGAAACGTAAAATGCAAGAAAAAGAGTAAGAGAAACAAGCCAGATGTGGTGGTATACGCCTGTAATCCCAGCACTCGGGAGGATGAGGCAGGAGGATTCTTGCAAGTTCAAGACCAGCCTGGGCTACAAAGTGAGCTCAAGGTCAGCCTGAACTGCATAGCGAGACCCTGTCTCAAAAAAAAAAAAAAAAA